GTTGGATGTTGTGTATCAATCCATTTAGAGTTGAATGAAGCATTATATAGCTAATAAAAAGCATGAAGGTTTGGTAAATGTACAAGGATGCAATTCGGCCATGTTGGGGTAGATAGTGTAAATGAGATGTTTGATGATATGTTGATGTGGAATCATGATTAGTACTTGATGGAATGATGAATGGTATGGTTAATAACTATTGGAAGTTTGAAAAAAATGCATGAACGCTTTATAGGTCAATTCGACCATCATGATAAAAATGGTGTTTGAAATGTATTCAATGATGTTTGGATGATGTTTATAACTCTTGGTATATGATGGTGTTGAATGGATGAGTCATTTGGAGCATTATAAGGTCATTAACATCCTATGAGCATTTTTCGCCATTACATAGAAGAATATGTTAGAAGTTAGTTTAAATCATATTTTGTGATGGTTGTTAAGTATTAGCTTTGATGGTGTTAAATGAACTAAGAAATAACTTTTGAAGAGCATGTAAAACTCATGAATATTGTTATCTGTCAATTCTGTCATCCAAGAGAAAACCATGATGTGAGTTGGTTTAGTTTGATGTTAATGATGATTAATAATCATTAGATTGTGTAGTATCAAACAAAGTGTTAATTAGCTAATGAAAAGCTTAAGAAGCCAAGGAACTGTCTCTGCTATGTTTGGAAACCATATTAGAAGATAGCTTAATGTGATGTTGATATTGGATAATAATCCTTTGGTATGTTAATTATGATTGAGCTAATTTGTTGGTGAATGAAAGTGAGAAAACATGGTGAAATCATTATACTATAGCTTAGGCCAAGTCAAAAAGAAATAGGTTGGAAACCTTATTAATTTGGAATGAAGCTTAGAATCTTTTGAGTATGTTTCAATTAGGTTTAAGGTGTAAAACCTTGGGTTCATTCAATGTTCATATTGATTTAATGATATGTGAACAATTAGTAAATTTTGGGTATTTGGTTATGACTTGTGTTTTGTGGCATGAATTGGCAAGGAATAAGGTGTTATAATAACTATGTGAACCACTATGTTTGTTGTTGAAATCAGATGCATGGCCCACCCCTGAAATTTTATCTTTTATATATGCTTTATGAAATTTATCTAACTTTCCTATGTGCCACCCTTGTTGCAACATTGTAGCCATGTAGGTATCAAAACAAGAAAGTTGTCAAAAAGCATGTTATCACTGCAGCAACACTTAAACAAAGCAGGCACCACAACGTTTACCAAAAAACAATAAAAGCAGGCACAGAACAATGAATGCTAAAAAAGGATGTTACTGGTGCTGCGACACTGCAACAAAGCATGTACATGAATGTTTACCAAACTTTAAAAAAGTAAAATATACACAACACTATACGGTGAGGAGAATAGTTGAACATGAGAGTTAAAATATAAGAATTTTAATATTTAATGTTTATTTATAAAATTAAAAGAAATCATAATAACATTTGTTAACGTATATATGGTTAAATATAGGGAATATGCACCTCAATATAGATTGAGAGGAAAAAATAAAAACACGAGAAGAAAACACATTGTATTGTGATACTTCTTTTATCAAATTAAAGTTCATTTTCATTGAAATCATATTATTCCAATTACAATGGAAAGCAAACATGACAGTGAGTTAAATTGTATTTGTTAAGGAGTGATGATTTGTTCTCTTTATTATTTTACTTCAAAGAAATCCCAATGCATCATCACTTTATTTTCATACACTTTACTTGAATTCTTTACCCTTTTTTCTACTAGTACTTTTCTTCATTTTTTAGCTATAGTTCATTTCTCCCCATCATCGTCAACATGTTTTTCTGAGGGAGGGGTCTTCTCAGCAACTTCAAATTGAGCCCACATGTATCTTGGTAACAAGAAATTAGTTAGTAAACTGGTGTATTTTAGTTTTTTCTCTATTTGGGCTAATTTTTTTTGTCTAAAATTTGAGTTGGTGAGATTGAAAGGATTAATTTAGGCACAAATGATGATTCTAAAAGTCACATTGGAAGGATTTCAGATTTGGTAATTTTATTTATATTTTATGTCTATGTTAACGATCTTATGTATTTTCGTCCCCCCCCCCCAACTCAAATTTCTCCCCATCATCGTCAACATGTTTTTCTGAGGGAGGGGTCTTCTCAGCAACTTCAAATTGAGCCCACATGTATCTTGGTAACAAGAAATTAGTTAGTAAACTGGTGTATTTTAGTTTTTTCTCTATTTGGGCTAATTTTTTTTGTCTAAAATTTGAGTTGGTGAGATTGAAAGGATTAATTTAGGCACAAATGATGATTCTAAAAGTCACATTGGAAGGATTTCAGATTTGGTAATTTTATTTATATTTTATGTCTATGTTAACGATCTTATGTATTTTCGTCCCCCCCCCCTCCAATGTAAATTGCTAGGTCCTCCACTGGTAGAAATTAACATGTGAAGTATTGGTTTCTTAAATTGCAAGTAACATGTTTGGTGGTTGATGGTAATTTTATTCATGACATTTGTTTGGTCAAGAATTGATATGTGTAATGTGACAAGAAAGCATGTAATATGTGCTAAGATATGTTGTATCATAAAAGTAATATGATAGAACCAACCTAATCATGATTTTCACAAGTTTGAGGATATGTAAAATGTAGTAATTTTGGGTATTGACACTTGAATTGAACCTTGATAGGTTTGATTATTGTTGGTTGGTAAACTAGGTTGGAGACAAGTAGCCTAGTGCTTAAAGATTAAGTCTTGGATTGATTGCTTAAAGTACAAGTAAGCATTAATTTGGGAGCTACAAGAGGTAAGCTCTTGGTTTAGGAGTCTTCTCCTAACTTGTTGTTCCACCATGGTCCAGTGGGACTTTGGTTTATACGTGTGTGACTATATTAATGTTAGATACATAGTATAGTTGCATACATGTATATGATATGGCATGATTTGATTGATTTAGGGTTCATGGCCATTGAAAGCATACATGGGTAAACTTTCTTTGCGGGATACAACCCATGGAAGTCTTTTGTATACCTTTCCATTATGACTCATGGTTTTGGAAAGTGTATGATCCTGTTGGACACAAGCCTATGGATTACCATGTATGATCTTCCATGAGAATTCATGATTCTTGGAAGTATTTGTTTGGACTCTCTTTGCGAGATACAATCCCTGGAGGTCTTATGTATATGATGAAATATATGATTTTTTTCTATACTATGTTATTTGACATTTCATACAGGAAGTGATTTCAAAGGTGGAGAATCACTCTATAAACCCTGAGTTTACTGAGATTTTATATTTCATCCTGTTTGGGGACATGTTTCTGGTACTCCGGCAGCAGAAAGAGAGCCCTCCCAGGGCAAGACGCCCGTACAGGATGGATAGAGGAATTAACTGGAGTAGATACCTAGTTATTTTGGTTGACTATAGTTACATATTTTGTAGAGCAAGGTGTATCTGATCATGCATATGTACTTATGTACAATTTGATATCCATTTTCAGAGGCATGTGTAGCCTATGTATATTCGTATACTTTTATGATGAGTATGTATATGTATGTTATCATGTGAGATGATATTAGTAATGGCACATAGCCACTCCGGTATATGTATACGGATTGAAATTTTTTGTATTTCAGGTACAAGATTAAATTGTGGGATATGATCTCTAGTAAGTCCAATTTTCAAATGTTATGCTGTCTGTAAGACTCTATTCGAAATGATACATGTTATTTTATTTGGATAGTTATTTTATCATTAGTTATTGTCACGGGCTTATCAAGTATGAATTTTGTACAATCATGGGACTGACTGTATGTTTATAAGAATGTGAAAAATAAGTTATGCATGGCAAATACATAAGAAAAAGTAAAAGGAAAAAGTTATGTCTTCCGCAATTTGATTCACGTAAAAAGTGCTTTATATACCATTTTGCATGTTAACAACTAGTTTGGGGAATTATGCTGGGTTTGAATTAGCTTGGAAAAGAGGATTTAAATGTGTCTGGCTTGAGTCTGATTCCAGATCAGCTATTGATGTGATTAAGAAAGGTTGAGATGATAATCAAGCCTTTGCTACCTTCGTTGTCAAAATTCAGAACCTATGCAGCAGGAACTGGAATGTTCGAATTTCGCATACGTACAGAGAAGCCAATGCAGTTGCTGATTGGCTGGCTTCCCATATGCTGATAACTGGTCGCTCTTAACTTTTTGACACTCCTCCTAGTGGTTGTAGACTTTTGCTAGATAACGATAGAAGGGGATCTTTGTATCCCGGGTTACTGATAGTTAGGTGCTTATCTGTTTTCTGTTTTCCCTGTTTTTTCCAATAACAAAAGAAATTGAAAATAACAGGATAGGAAATGAGAAAATTAGTGCAGTTGAGACTCAATACGTGCAGCCCTTTGCTATTGGGGCTAGTAATCCCAGAGATGCGTGTGAGCCTTCTGGGTTACTACACAATCTCTTCAAAAAAACTACTTTCCTAATATTTGAACTCGTATTGTCATTCTAGGTAGTCAAAACTTCTTATCAGTTACCACCTCAATTTAATCATCCAAGGTCTAATACTACATTTCATAGCCACAGCAAATTAAGAATCAAGAATCAGTATACATATTAAGAATATTGGTGTACATACTTGTTGCAAAATATATAGACCTGAAAGCTCAAATAATTGGGATTTATGGATACCTTTATATATATAATGGATTTTGCATTACATGACAAGTATAAAATTTCCTACACGTACATCGATATTTGTGCTGCATTTTTTTCTTTTTCTTTTTATTTTAAAAATGATGAACCACACACTTGTTGTCTTTGTAGCATGACAAGAAGATTATCCTCCCAACGTGATACTTATTTTTCCCCATATGTATTACATATGAAACCCAACAATTCTTTCCTTTACTTGCTCCTTATGAGCCTTTGTTGAAGCATGGATCAAAGCTAATAAGGCTATACGCATGGTTTAGAGCAAGGGCTAAATTCCCAATGCCAGCAAGTGTTTTAAGAACAAGAATGTACAAATAACTGACTATATCAAGTTTAAGGATACAAATATCTAGAAAGCTCTAAAGAAGGTAAAGATATATGTAAATGAACAAAAAATGGTTGAATGGAGTCACTTCTGATGCTAGTTTGTGCTTGACAAACGTGTAGCAAAACCTCATTGTTGGTTGTTGATTTCTCTCATACTATGGTGTTCATTTTGTTTTCCTCCTTGCTCATCATGATCCACTCTTACAATCAACTTTGATGTTGGTGATGTGGGAGACAATTCAATATCAGATTGGGAATCATCATCTTGATCTTCACAGGTTGACGAAGTGCGAGTTGAGTGACCAGTAGTTTTGAAACGGTGTAGTCTGGGTCCAGAAGAATGCGCTGTTGAATCAATGGTGCTTCCATCCATGGTTCGCACACTGGACTTTCCTAGTTTCACTCCTTGCTTCTTTTTCACAGCCATGTGCCACTTCTTTAACGCCTTCGATGTTTGTTCATCAAATATTGATTTTTTCATTCTTGAGCCCATCTACAGGTGTTTACCATGACCATAGTAATTAGTCCACCTTGAATTTGCAACTATAAGTAATGGTAAATGAGGATAGCATATAAAAAAGGCAAATTTCAATGCACAAGACTCCCTTATCTAAAATGTAAGAATAGGGATGAGGGTCGATTGTACATAGTCTTACCTTTACATTTTGCAAAGGTAAATGAAGATAGCATCATGAAAATCAAATTTGTATGATATCATCTGAACGGTTTTGATATGACATATAAAAAATAAGGAGGGCTTATTCTGAATGTCAGAGTGGCATCAGGAATTATATTTGAATCTAGTCATTTTCTATGAAAAAATTGTCCCTCCACCCCTATTGTTTTATTCAGATAAACAATAAATCTGTATTATTGATCTCGGTTAAGTTCATGCTAGTATGCTACCGAAAAAACTGCAATCAAATCTCGCAGGAAAATGCCTCTGATGAATTACAAGAAAATCAGGAAACAAAAAACATGTTGTACCTGAGTCACAAGTGCATATAATGGAAGGGTGATGTAGCTGCAGAGGCATAACACCCCAACCCTTAAAACCACATAAGAATTCATCATATTAGATTATGGTATTGTCATATGCTTCAATCATACTAATGCTGGAGGGATCTATGTTAAAGCATCAGTTAATTCAAAGTATGAAATGCATATTCAGGCATGCCATATTACTAGCAAAAGAGAATTTTAGATTTATCACTTACCCTAAAGCTACTTTCACTATTGCAACCTCGTAGTCAGCATGGAAACAGTTTCTCAGCCCAAAAGAATACTGCAAATTAAGAAATCATTAATCTATTATTCAGTCATTAACCATAATCTACATAGACAACAAAAAGACATTATTCAAGATTAAGTTCTAAAGATGGTTCATACCCATATCCACAAGAAATATGTTATTTGGAATGCATTCTGCAAGTAAAAAAAAAAAAAATCAGTTAGTTACAAATATTAACAACTAAAATTTTCAAAACTCCAGAAATATTTTGCTAACTAGGACAGAGGATAAACTTGGCAATTTTATACCACCATTGCTATAAACTAGGCAATTTTATACCATCATTGCTTTAATAGCAGATCCATCAATTTTCAAGGTAAACATGTTATACTTTACATCCTGTATGCAACATTAGTGTTTATATCATTAGTTATGTTCATTTGCCTCCAAGTAAGGCTGCATTTTCAATTCGAAATCTGAACAGTTATACATGATTTTCCTGTTCCATCTACAAGACATTTGTTAAAGATTCTGCTAAAAGAAAATCCATTGAATACCTGGAACAAAGCAAAATGGATAAGATGAAGAACTAACTGAGGCCGACCAAACCAAAAATATCTGTCTGAGCCTTGGACAAGAGGAATCCCTTGGACAACTGCATGTCTTTCTGTGATTTCAATAGCCATCTTTGCCAACGTGACTTGAAGTTTAGTTCCAACAGTCAAAATTATCTGCAAGCAATTAAATGGGATTATATTTGTAGATCTCAACCAATCTGCAAATTTTAGACAGAGAACAGAACACTTACCACAACAGGAATTAGGGATGCCCAAATCATAGCATGCCATCCTAGAAATTATACAGGATCAACCAACTGTCATTCTTTAATCGAATATTCAATTACAGGATTGTAAATTCCACAGTACCATACTAAGAAAATAGTTGCTCACCATTAACATTTAGGAGCAAGAAAACAACAAATGATGCCCAGAGGACAGGACTGTCAACAACAAAATGCACCCGAGAGCGCACGTCTGTCAAGCAAGTTCTCATAGGAAAAACCATAGATAATATAATGCTACAAATACATTATGAAAAAGAATGTTACCTGACTCCCACAACTACCTTGAAATCATCCTCCAAGGATCTTTTGATATACTTTTGGAAGTTAAATTTACTTCCAGGAGAAAGGTGGAGCTACACAAAATGGACTATCAAAATAGGAAGGTGAATCCAATATAAAACCAACATCATGTTCTGGAGTGAAACTCACAGTGATAAATCCATTGCGCAAAGTCAGGTAGTCGGCCTTACCCACGGACCTATAAAACTGTCTAAAGAAGCAACCCTGAAATTGGCAAAATGGAAGAGATGGTACAATGTCACTTTAAAAAGTGCAAGAGAAAATGAAGTTACAAAAAGCAGGCATTCGTTCAATAATGATGTTAAAAAAATTTGCGTTAGTGGAACCATTGGTTGTTCTACTACCATCCAATTCTTGTGAGCTATACGTCAAATAGTTCCACTAAAGTATACTGGTTCTTTTTCTTTAACAAATTTTACATGTCTATGATGGTTCCAACAAAAACCATAGGCACTCGTTCCTCTATCTTGTTGATAAAATTAAATCCTCAACGTCAAGCAAATGAAGTGAAAACATAGCAGATTCGTAAAATGGGTCTTACTATATAAAAGAAGATTGAATTTCTTGTCCAAAAAGTGGTATGGGCTCTCACAAATGATGTTTCATGTGTAAGCCGGAATCTTGAAGGATCTGCAAACATAATAAACATCCAATGTATGCATGAGATTGCATGTAGCAGATTTTCCAAGTAATATTGGTAAACTTAATAGTAAAACTACGAATCTAGTAACTTTTACACTTGTGACGAAAGGAGTTGTGAAATGCTCCAGGAATAACACAGCAGTCCCATTCAATTTACATACATGGATTTACAATCACTAATAACACGGAACCAAATCAAATCAAAACAGAACTAAAATATTCACATAATCCCTAAATAGGTGATTGTGATCTATTTCCCGAAATAGAAGTTATTGTCAAGATATTATTCAACACTCCCCCTTAAGTTGAAACATACAGATCATATGCAACAAGCTTGTCACAAATGAAATGTATTCTAGGTCCTCGCAATGGCTTTGTGAAGATATCAGCCAGATGCTCACAGGAATTAACAAATTCAATGACCATTTCATTGGAAAGAACTTTCTCCTTGATAAAGTGACAATCAATCTCTATGTGCTTCGTACTCTCATGAAAGACTGGATTTGATGCAATGTGTAAAGCAGCTTGATTATCACAATGTAATTTCATATGATCAATGTTTCCAAACTTCAACTCATTTAAGTAACTATTTTACAAATATAATTGACCATTACCATGGCCCTATACTCGGCTTGTGCACGCTTTTTACATTCCCTCGACACAAAATGACCACCAATAAAGACACAATACCCTGAAGTAGATCTCCTATCAATAGGTGAACCAACTCAATCATCACCATTGTATCCCACAACTTGAGCACTACCCTTGTCTTCATACAACAATGCTTGACCTAGAGCACTTTTACTACGCAAACAGCATTCCAATGATCAATGCACAGAGATTGCATGAAATGGGCCTCCACACTAAAGGCCTGTTTGGATGAGCTTTTTTTCTCCAAAAGCTGTTTTTTTCTTAAAAAAAAGCACTTCTCGTTTTTAGTTTGTTTGGATGTCTGATGTTAAAAAAAGCAGAAGTCACAAAAAAAGTCAAAAACCTACTTTTTTCAGAAGTTAAAAATTTTAACTTCTAGAAAAAGCAGAAGTCAAAAGCCAAATATTTTTATAAAAATATAAATAACTTTAACTTTTGCAAAAAGCACTTTTAAAATAAAGAAGAGATAAAAGTTACTTTTTTGAGAAGGCCAAACAAACGGGCTCTAAGTGTGAAAGAAATGTCTGGTCTAGTTAGTGTAAGGTAGCTTAGCTTTCTAACTAGTCTCCTGTAATTGTTAGGATTTGAATACGATTCTCTTTGATTTGCTAATAATTTATTGTTCAGATCCATCGTAATGTCAATAGGTTTGCAATATGTTATGTCAGTTTCTTCCAATATATCCAAACCATACTTTCTCTATGAAATCACGATACCATTCCCTGATTGAGCTACCTCAAGACAAAGAAAGTATTTCAGCTTGCCCAAGTTTTTGGTCTGAAAGTGACCAAACAGATGCTCCTTCAATTGTGATATTTTGTCATGATCATTCCATGTAATAACTATATCATCAACACAAACTATTAGATAAATACATTGACTAGATGGAGTGTTTCGTCACTCCGTGTCATCCCAAACTCTACTACAAAAATACTAAATATACCAAACCAAACTAGAGGGGACTGATTTAACCCATAAAGAGACCCTTTCAACTTACAAACCAAACTCGACTCCCCTTTAAGCAACAAACCCAAGCGGTTGCTCTATATAAATCTCTTCTTTAAGGTCACCACGAAGGAAGACATTCTTGATTTCTAGTTGATATAATGACCAATGTTCAATAGCTTCCATAGCAAGAAAGAGGCAAAAAGAAGCCATTTTGGCTACTAGAGAGAACGTGTCACAATAATCAAGATCATAAGTCAAAGTGTATTCTTCAGCAACTAGGCAAGCTTTGGGACAACCAATGTGACCGTCTGAGCCTACCTTGTCAGCACCTACCTAGCATCATCCAACAAATGTTCTCCCAAAAGGAAGAGAAACCAAGTGCCATTTACTATTGTGCGCAAGGGCAATCATCTCATCAATCATGGCTTGCCTCCAATCAAAGTGTGTAAAGGCCTCACCAACAGTTTTAGGAAGCTAAACATAAGACAATGAAGATATAAAAGCATAATATAATAGAGATTAACCATCAAAACTATTCGTGATATTGATCCGATTTGATATTGATAGCATGGAAACGTAATTTATTATACCATTGAATATTTTTCAACTCATTTATATATATTATCTAATTTTTTTTCGGGTTCGGCTAAGTGGTGGTATGTATAGCCGAGCCCCAAAAAACGGAGCCAACCAAAACCCACAAAAAAAATAATAATAAAAAATACATTCGGATAAAATGTTTAGCCAATTCCATGCGTCGAACCAAAAAACTCTTTCTTCTTTCAACTTTTTGATCTTCCCATTCATTTTCATTGTACGTAAATTCCTCTTCTCCTAATTCCTTCCATATTACCAAAAGTTATAAATAGGATGAAAATTGCGAGTGGATCGAAACATTTTCGAATGGCAATAGGGAAATCACTAACAAACTCACTTGGGTCAAATGGAACCGTATGAAAGGATAGGTCCGTGTGGGTGAAGTTGTTGGGGACTAACATGATTAACAAGGGCCTGTGGCTCCCTCCTCAATCAGAGCAACGACCTCCTTTGGCTGACTTGGATAGGTGATATGGGGACACTAAGATGAAACAAATTGAATTTGCTCAAATAGAATAGCTGTAGATTCTATGAATGGTAATTGCAAGGGAGACAAAGGAGGACCAAAATATTAAACAGGTAAAACCTTAGTTTACATTAGAGTCAGTAAATTACGTAAAGTAAGGTATGTCTACAAAAAAGGTGACACCATCAGAGGTATACCATCGGCGAGCAACAAGAGAATAACAAACATCCTTTTTGTAACCTGAAATAGCCAACAAAGATACATTTAATAGAACGAGGTGACAACCTGTCATGACCTATAGAAAAATCATGGACAAAACAAATACATCCGAACACATGAGAAGGAACAAGATACAAGGGGCGTTTGGGATCTGATAGCAAAAGAGAAACTTGATTATTAAGAACAGATGAAGGCATGTAATTGTTTAAATTATAAGCTGTCAAGATGTCACCCCAAAAACTCAAAGGCATCTTAGCTTGTAATTTAATGTACAAGAAGTTTCAATGAGATGGCGATTTTTTCTTTCAGCTACTCCATTTTGTTGGGCGATGTGCAGACATGAAGATTAGTGCAAAATATCACAAGACATAAATAATGAACTTAGCAAAATGGCTTGAAAACTTTTGTATAGAAAGATTTGAAAATGAAAAAAGACCTCAAACTAGCGTTTCATTAAGAATAACCAAGTACATCATGAGAAATCATCAATGAAGGTGACAAAATGCTTAAGACCAAAGGTTGTGGAGACATGACTGGGACCCCATATCAGTGTTTTAAAACTCAGACCGGTCATTGGCTCAGTCGAGGTATTGAGTCACTGGGTCAGTGGTTCAACCGGATTCAACCGAGTTCAACCGGATTTCAAAATAATATATAATAAATATATTACTCATATTAACAACTCATGCTGATTTTGGCATTTCCTCAAACAAGTCATTTACAAGAAATTTGAATACTTTGAAGATTTATTATGTATTAAGATAGTTCTCTAAATATTTTAAATATTAATTTAGTCTTTGACTTTTAAAATGAAAATTACTTTGATTTTTTTTGGGTACATACTCTAATTTCTTTTAAATTATTATTAAACATTAATTTGATCTTTAAAATTATACATATTTTTTATTATAAAGATTAAATTAAAAGTTGAAATATTTAATAAAAAAAATATAATGTCTTGTGTATTTTTGAGGATCAATTGAAATTTTATTTATTTTTTAAAATTAATTGAATGAAAGTATGTAATTTATTTTTAAGATGAAAAAAAATATTAAAAAAACAGATTTGATATTAGATATATTTTTGAAAGACAAATTTTATATATACAATAAAAAAAATAAAAAAAAAATAACGTGAAACATGAAAACGAGAATAATATATATTTACTCAATAATAAAGTTTGTCTATAATATGGTTACCAAAGAAAAAAAGTGTATAAAATTAGAGGCAATCGTGTTCCGCGGGCGTTGAAAGTGTTTGACGGAAAAGAATGGAGAAATTGGGGAAGAGAGTGTTGCTGACTTCAAACGGCGACGATGTTTCACAGAGCATTGCTTTCCATTTAGCCAAACAATGTAGCAGGGGATTGAACTCTCTCTCTCTCTTTCTCTGTTTGTCATTTTTGTTTGGTTTATTGAATGAAGTCAACGTGATTATTGATTGATTCAGGTTGGTTTTGATGGCAGACGAGGCTTGCTTGCTGAGTATAGCCCACAAAATCATGGGTTCCCTCAACCTCAGTTTCTGACACCCATTTTCCCCATTTTCTGTATGAAGATTTGGCACTGCACCTTGGTTTGAAGGTTGAGGAGGTTCCACATCGACCAGGAGATGAAAAAGAAATCAGTTTATAAACTATTTTGAATGGATTTATTACAACTTGTGTTGCTATCGTACATAAGTGGGTGGATGTCTAGCAACCCGGCGGGTCTCCGATTTTTTACAAAACCTGATTGTGACTGGGTCAAACTGATTTGAATGCATATCCAATTTGAATGCATATCCAATCCGAGCGGAGCTTTAAAACACTACCCCATATATTAGAATGAATGACATAACTCTTGACTGGACTAGAAAAGAAATCTCGAACATGTTTCTTAGCTGACACGATTCATAATTCAAAGACTTCAAACTTCCAAGACTTGGAACCATTTGTTGAAGTTTTGATAGATTGGGATTACCAAACCACTGACAGAGGAGACTGAGAGATTCAATAATAGCATAAATCGGATAAAGTGTTTCGTGAGAATATAAAGCCCATGTGACTCATGTCCTATGCCAATCATCTATCCAGTACTACAGTCTTGGATGACAAAAGAATTAGAATTAAGGATTACTAAACAGTTAAGGGATCTCATAAGTTGACTTACGGAGATCAAATCAAAAGGACATCTAGGTATGAATAAGACTGATTATAATGATATAGACACAGTGGGTGAAATATTACCAGTACCTTGGGAAGACACTTTAGAACCATCAACTAGGGTGACAAAACGTGAAAAAGTCAGATGGAGAAAGAGAACAAAAAAGTGACTGATTACCCGTTTTATGGTTAGAGGCACCTGAATCAAGAATCCTTAGTGTTGAAATATTACTTGTATGAGAAATACAAACTCCAGGATTATCACTATCAGCAATAGTGGTAATAGAGGACTGAGTTTGTTTGGTAGCCTTCGATGGGAGATATTGTGCCTTCCATTGGAGATACTCATGGAATTCTAGTTCTGAAACAATATAAGATGGTTTGCTCAAGAAGATATTACGAGAGAGATTTGTCACTACGGTTAAACAAGAACCTTTGGGAACAGACAACATACTTAGACTTGAGGCCATAGTTACTCAAGAAAAAAATGAAGTTTCTGAAAAACAAAACTAAGTTTCTCGAGACCAACAAGTTTTCCTAATTCAAATGCAACAACATTGTTGTTCGAGTGGAAGTGATCATTCATAATTCCCACACCCCCAATAAATTATCAAAAAGGAATCTACTAGACTTAAAGAGATGCCCAACGAGCAACAAAACACAATCTTTCAAACTTAGGGAATGCAAAATTAGCAGCAGACATGTGAACATTACCCAAAAAAGGGTGGAAACCATGACCCATTATCAAACTGAACCAGGACTGGAAGGTTTACCACCAAAACATGATAAGAAGTCTCCTACGACCAAGGCATTACTGGCAGCTTGAAGTCCAATGCTTGGAAGGTGATGGGTGGGTCACACACGCTGACTGATGGTCGCATGTGGTGGTATGTGAGGTGTTCTCCGACGAAAATGTTCGGAGGGGTTTCTAATTCGAGGTCTCTGGATGAACACGAAGTGTTCTAGCATGGTGGATCTCAGCCTTGACAATGGCTGTGACTATCAAGGTTCTTTTTGTGTGTGATTATGACTGATGAGGTTTTTAATGGTTGGAACCGATCTTAGCTCTTGATACCATGTGAAGAAATGAGTTGTAAAATGCTTGAGGAATTCCTCAACAATCCCATTCAATTTACATACACGGATTTACAATGAATAATAGTAGGAAACCAAACCAAATCAAATCAGAACAGAACTAAAATATTTACATAATCCCTAAATAGGAGATTGTGATCTATTTTTCTAAATAGAAGATATTATCAAGATATTATTCAACATTCAAAGAAGAAAAATATGGAGACATCGTACCATTGGCGAACTCGTACCCATGAGATGAAGTCTCTGCCTCCCATGCCTTCCATCCTCTTATCTGAAGAAAAATAAAAATTTCAATCACCCAACTAAGTTAACAAATCTTGATGATCAGTAAACACAACAAGGATGTGGTACTCCTCTAGAGTTTTACTTAAAGAACAAGATATCACATACCTAACCATAGTGAGACTTTGGGAGCAAATGCTCAATCTACATTCCCTATCCTTGACCATCTTACCAGCAAGTGGACAAACTCAAGACTTCAATCCTCACATATGGGATAAATTACCTTGTCCATTTTGAAAAATTTCTTTGCCATCTAAATCCCATTTTTGTTATTTGTTCATTTCTCATTAGGCACGGACCAGTTGAGTTTTCTTTCAGATTTTCCACCGTGATGTTATTGTACTTTAATTTGGTCTTGGCTTAATTAATATTATTATGAATTGTCTTGTACAGTTTTCAATCTACTTACAATTGCATCCACTTAGTTCTGATTCCCTCTTTTACTTTCACTAATATGCACTCCACCCCCTTTCTCCCTCCCCCTCCCCGTGACATCTCCTATTGACCATTAATATATAAATCTTCCAGACATCATGCTTCCAAAGCAAGAAGAAGAAGTCATAAGGTTCTTAACCAACTCAGTATCCTCAAAATGCGCAGATATGGAAAATTAAATGAAGTATCCAAACAACTAAAAACAATAGAAAGAAAGACATGCAGACCTTTAGTCTCCCAAGAAGCATTGTGACAGCACTGTAAAGCACGTGAAGGACTGCTAAGAAGAATATGAGGATGTGTAATTGGTGCAATCCATTGACAGATATGAGTGGCTCATGTCCCTAGAATAGATGTCAAAATAAACAACTAAGGTTTCATTTATAAGAAAAAATAAAAGTTAAGCATGGAAACATAGTTACCTCCTTGCATTGGTAAGAGGTAGTATCATCTGATAAATATCTGCGTTCATAAGAGAGGAGTTTTCTACTATGTTCCTCTTCACTGCTTGATGCATTGTTGGTACCCGTATATGGACATGGCAACAGTTTGTCTGCTACATTGGCAGGAACACATATTCTAACAATGTAGCTCTGCCCGAAAGTCAAAAGCAGTGAAATGAAACCTAAAATCATCAACTCTGCAAAAACAAATTTAACAACAGAAAAACAAGCGAGAAATAATTATTGCTCAACATAAATCTGAAAAATAGACAACGACAATAAAAGTAAATTAACTACAGAAGAGTCAAACTGCTTTGACTCCAGGACATAAGCATCACAGGTTCATAACTACTAATCCCTTGGCTAATTCTTACCAGCTTTGACCTTTTCCAAAGCTTCAAGCAGAGCCTTCTTGTGCCTTTCATGTAGCCACTGAAAAAATTTCACCAAGTTAGGAACTGAGTTTACAAGAAAATCACAACAAACACTCATCACGCCATCAACCCAGATTTTATAGTCCTCAACCAAGGAAAACAACCCCTCAACTTCAAACATTACTAAGATTTCAAATACTATGCCACAATTTCAACAAAAGCAAGAAATAGAAAAGTTTTCCCCAGAAGCAAAAAATGCAACTGCAAACACAGAACAGACAATGTACATCCCACCACATAAAAAATCATAGAACTCTGCAAGTGCAAGGATCAAAGGCCCAAGCCTTAGCAACAAAAAAGACAATTACATTAAGACCAAGAGTGGCAAGAAGAACAACCCTTACGTTTTCATCACTGGATTGAAGAGAGGCAAAAGAAAAACCCACGGAGAAAGTACAGTTAACTTCATTGTGAAATGCACAAGCAGGTAAATAGTGCTAATAATTACAAGGGAAAATGGAAGGGAAAAAAAAAGGTTTCAAATTGGTGACATACCGATCCCACTTTGTGAAGACTCTTCTCCAGAGTTAGGGATATCAAGATGAAAACAGTGCAAACACAAGCAACAGCCCATGTTGGTGTTTGATCAAGGTCTCTGGAATTGCTATTGCTCTCACTTGAAGCCATAGCCAAACCAACATGGCAGAACCATGAAACTAGACAAAGTGAAAGAGGCAACTTTTTGTACTTTGAGACAAACATGGATGAAAAACAACACAATCACACACAAATCACAAAATTGGGTTCTCAGAAACAGATTGCAAGCACAATAATTATCTGGGTTCCTTTACAATAAGACAAAGTTAACAACTTTATGTGATCTGGGTTGGTTCTGGAAAGGAAGCAGCTATCTTCATAAGCGCGTGCATTTATTGGTGAGTGGACCTTCAGAGAGGGAAGAAAAAGCTGTTTCAGGCTTAATGATGGTGCTGCAGTTGTGGCAGGCTTGTATTTGAATGCAGTTCCAAAGTTTGCAGCAGGATTTTGAAAAAAGAACAAAAAGAAAAAAGATTTTCTAATTTTCTATTCTCTATCTGGATTCATGTTATAAAACTGTTGTCAGAAACCAAAAAGAGAACAACTATATAATATAAAATAACATTTTTTTTGGAAATAATATATAATAAGAGGGAAATATTAGTCTTCTTTTACGTGAGATAATTTATCTCATTTTCTCTCAATTTCCATATCTCATTTTTTTTTCTTTTTCTTTTTCTTTTTTTTTGTAATGGTGGGACCCACCTAGTTTCTCTCTATAATATAAGATACATATCTTATGTAAAAGGAGATTAATAAAACTCGTAATAACATTAAACGTGTAAACAAATATAAACTTAACAAATTACCCGAAAAAAAATTAAAATAAAAAATATAAACTTAACATTCTGGCAACAATTAAGGAAGGTTCTGCACAGCAAAAATTGTCCCTTTCAGACAAACAATTAAGGAAGAATTTCCATATTTTTTTTCTGTCTTTTCCTTTGCTATTTGTCAATTTAATTTTTGTTCAGATTTGCGCCGAATGATAAGTTAACCTAAATTTTAGTCAGTTTGGTATAGAAAAGGAAATAGTGATAAAATAAGCCGAAAATAGTGACGAGGAATTTGAGTGATTTCTTTTGAAGTTACGGATTCAAACCTTTAGGGTTTTAATGTCATTATTATATGAAAATATATATAATGATAAAATTTACATTGATATAAATAAAGGAATATTATTTCTGCATATGTAGCGAAAAAAAATATATGTTACAGAAAATAAATTAAAAAAAGAGAAACTCATAAAGTTATACGGAGAGACAAACTGATTAAATGATCGTCCTACCCTAATTTTACCCTCTATGCCAAAAAAAAAAAATTCTGTCACAGATTATATTTTCTAAAAATAATGATAAAATTTACTTTATCAATGAAATTTTATTGAGAATTAACTTTATGAAGAAAAAAAAACCGACATTGTTTGTATATTAACTATCCGACAAACGCGGTTTCACTACTGGGATGTAAATTTATTGGAAATGGATACTCTTGCGTGTAAAAAAAAATAATACGGTCATGTAGAAAGAGTACAATTATACAAAGATAAATAAATAGTTATAATTTTATAACTATTTATTTTAATATTTTTTCTCTCTCCTCCTTTATTATCATTGATCCACATTTGTATGGTTATGATTCTCCACATGATATGGTCATGTGAATTTTCACATGAGAGAATCCAGATCCCAATTTATTTGTTGTGTGTGTTTTTAAAAAAATTTAAATATTAAAAGAAGGAAAAAGTATTTGTCTTTTTAAATGACACAACTTGTGTCCTTTCACTTACACAAAAAAGTGGGACCCACACTTTTTTTTGTCCACTCTTTCTCCCATAATTTATCTCTTTCTCTCACTTAAAATGACATAATTTTACATACTTTAAAATGACACATATTTTTCCCTTAAAAGAAATTGGATATTATGTCTATCTTTTTTTATACCTATTCTATACACTTTCTCCAATAACGTAGATCAGAATATCGGAACATCCACTAAATTGTCACTTTTTGGCAAAAATTTTACCCAAACGCCACGCAAACTTTACTTTTCACCATATTGTCACGCGACGTAATTCGCTACGACTGGTAGCAAACTTCGTTCGTCAATGATTTTGTGACACATGGCACACTTTTGTAAGAAAAAGCTGACTGAATTAACTTCACTAGTGGTGGTGCGCACTATTGTCACGTGTCACGAAATCATAGGCGATGAAGTTCGCTATCAGGGATAACGCACTTCACGCGTGACTGGTAAAACGTATTATTCACATGACATTTGGATAAAAAATTTGCCAAAAAATAATACTTTAGTCGATGTTCCCAGAATATCAATAGAGTACACATAAAAAAATATAGCCATAATATTCTTTGGTATGATTAAAAGTTCATAAATTTTTTATGCGCGTTTGTTTTGTAACAAAAATAAGGTATATCACATTAAAAAAAAAACAATACTAAATAAAATTATTTAAGTAATATGAATGCTAAATAAAGTGGAACTCAATGTGCACGGCTTTTTGACCCTTTTGCCCCTCATTAATTAATTAATAACCAATTTGCCCCTGATCAAGAACTATCCACCAACCTGCCCCTTTTAGTCGACTAGCTTGCTGATTTAGTCGAGCAAATGGTCAATCTTCAGAAAGTGGACGACCGTAAATTTAGTCGACTAAAAAATCATCTTAATCGACTACATTTTTGGGATATTTAGTCGACTAAGTAACGATATTTAGTCGACTAAATGTCGACTGAAACCCTATATTTTCCATGTTTTCGGTCTCATTTCGATTGTTGTTGTTGTGTAAACCTAAATAGCTCCCTTTGTTCATGTGTAATCCTCTCAATCCGATTGTATTTCATCCCACCATCTCTACAGACCTAATATTGTGAAATCATTGTCATTGCCCAATTCTAAACCCCAAAATCCGAACCCAAACCCCCAATTTCAGAACCCAAGTCCCAATTTCGTGAGGAAGATGAGCACAAGTCCAAACATGTATGTGACAATGATCTACTATGATGGAAAGCATTATGAAGGCCCCAATGGTGTTCAATTTGAAGGAAAAACGAAAATGTTGAAAATCAAACGGGGCACTACATACAATGAGTTAAAGGAGAGAATTCAGCAAAAATTGGGTCTGCAAGGCAGCCAATGCGTTCAACGGATGATTGCCAGGGTAGAGACAACAGTTGGTAAGGATGCTATTTACTACATTGGTAACGATATATGTGATGATGAAGATGTCGAATGTGTCATAGATGCAATTGTTGATCGAAAATTTCAAAATTTTATTGAGATATATGTTGAATTAGATTGTGGTCAATCTTCATCTGCACCCATGCATACAAGAAGTGAACCGTATTTTGGTCATGAAGAAAGAGTAGTCGATTTATCTGCACCTGCACATGTCATAAGTCAGATAACACTGCGGGAAATAGATGAGGATGAACAGGATGCCGATATGGACAGCGATGAGGACGGTGAACCTGAGAGTGTTATTCCGCTAGGTGACACGTCAGATACTGACGTAGAGGGTGATTTCGACGCTGACACAAGCTCACAATCCCCGGGTTCGCAGGTTACGAGACCACTTCGTGTTGACCCTGTTAGCAGTGGTAAGATTTGTTTTTTAAAGATTTAATTTAGCAATTATTTTTTTGTTATGAATGGTATTGACGGTGGCATTATAATGCGTCCGTAGGTTCTGAGGTCGAGCCATTTTGGAATGAAAGCTCACATTATACCTTCATTAATTGGGCCCACCCTAATGATGAGACGAAGATATTGTATGGTGACGATGATGATCACGGTGGCTGGCAATTAGGGGATCCTTTATATTTGTATCAGGAGTTTCGTAGCAAATCTGAAATGCAACATGCAGTCAAATTATATTGTATAAAGGCTCACCGTACTGCCGTTGTGGCAAAAAGTGATGACCATAGATTTGTGATGAAGTGTCGACACCATAATGATGGATGTCCCTGGTATGTGAGGGCATTGTTGCCGAAGAATGGAAATACTTGGGTGGTTAGTAAATGGGTTAAAGAACACACCTGCCTAAACCAAGGTCTTACCCGGGATCATAGACAGTTGGATTCTGATGTGATATGTGCAACCATTATCAGTATGTATTATTCGATATATCTAACTTCCTAAGGTATGTTTACGTTAATCAGTTTGTATTCTGACTGTTGGTCGGTGTTTTTTTTTATATAGGTATGTTAAAAGAAGATCCATCATTGAAGCCAGTTCTTATTCAAGAGAGGGTACAACGTTTGTATGGATACAACATATCTTACAGGAAAGCTTGGAAGGCTAAAATGAAAGCCATTGTCAAGTTATTTGGCGACTGGGATAAATCGTATGCATTCTTGCCTGGTTGGCTGACATACATGACGTAGGTTAATGTGGGTTCTATGTTCAAGATTGATACGGACCAATGTGTTGATGAACGTCGAGTGTATACGGATAAGGCTGTCTTTCACCGAGTATTTTGGACCTTTCATGTCATGATATTTGTATTTGACTCATCTTAGTCGACTAAATATCCCAAAAATGTAGTCGATTAAGATGATTTTTTAGTCGACTAAATTTGCGGTAGTCCACTTTCTGAAGATTGACCATTTGCTCGACTAAAACAGCAAGCTAGTCGACTAAAAGGGGGCAGGTTGGTGGATAGTTCTTGATCAGGGGCAAATTGGTTATTAATTAATTAATGAGGGTCAAAAAGCCCAATGTGCAGTATAAATTTCTGAATTTTTGTTACTCATCATATCATAATATAAAATCTTGCTTATAGCAAAAAGGAGAAAAATAATAATAATAACTCTTACCCATCATTATCTTAACGTTAGTGTTGTGCATTAATCATCAAAGGGTTAACAACACAAAAATTTATTATTAATTTACTATTATTATTCTTTTGGTATTTTTTTCATGATTTAAATCGATCTAAAGCATTCCTTTTCTTTAAAATTCAGATTACTTGTAAATATGTCTAGAGACAATCTGAGGGTGAGATGTCAGATGATATTGATTGTACTATTGAGCATGCTTTATCTGTTTCATATCACATTTCTCTTTCGGTTTTGTTAATGTCATGTAACATGAAAATGGATACATCATGTTACAGAGACATGTTTGTGTAGGACCCACCAAATATTAGGAAAAAAAACTAAAGAAAAAAACTTGCACGGAAAACGATCTAAGAGTAGGAGGAAACAAAATTTTCATATAACATGACATTTGCTTTTCCCTTTTTCTTTTATAATATGTGTAATGGATAAAGTTCATTTGGGATAGTGCGCGTATGTCTTGAGGACCTATGATGAGATCATGAGGCAAAAAAATTAATTTATTGCTTTTTTAATAAAAAATTATGAATATGTAGTAATTTTGAAAAAAATTACAAAACTATAGCACTCAAACACGCCCACATGGGGCGTGTTTTCATGGAGAGAGACACGCCTATGTGGGGCGTGAGCCTCTAAATATAACACGCCTATCTTGGGCGTGACCAGGAGAGGGACACGCCCAGCAGGGGCGTGACCTCCCTAGTCTATAAATAGGCCTTTTTTCACTCTTTTCCTCATTTCTACCTCCACTTCCTCTCTCTAAACCACTCCTTCACCTTCTCTCTACATTTCTTCTGGAGCGTTTTGCGCAGCGAAGCTCTGTCTCTCTCTCATGTAAGTCCCTATTTATTGTTTATATTTTTTATTAACGGCAATATATATATGATAGTTATTAGTGACTTAGATAATTGTTAGGGGGTTAGAAAAATATTAGTGACCTATTAAGAGAATGATTAGTGACTTAGGAATTAGATATGGACTTAGAAATTAATTAGGGTCTTCTAAATTGGTATATGCTGGTGATAGGACTTATTTACACACTTAGAAAGTAGTTTGAGATAATTAATAATTTTTTATGAATGACACTTGCAAACATATTGACCTTTCAAATATATTTAAATTGAATTTGTAATATTTAATCTATTCAAATATATTTTTAGAATAATGTAATGTTAAATTAATTAATTTTCATTGATGTTAATTTAATTGAAATTAATATAACAATTGAAGTAAGTTAAATGCTATTTAATTGAATGCAATTAAATTTTATTTAGCGTAAATTAATATAATCTCAATAGTAATTTGGGTATAATTTTTTCATTTGTAGTAGTATTCTATTATGGCCCATTCGTCTTCGTCAGAGTCGTTGCGCTCTGGATCCGATGGTGATGCTGAGCCATCCGATCCTTGTACGCATGTACTTACTCGACCATATAGGTGGGAGGTACTCCGCACTCACGTTTCACAACTTGTGTGGAACGAGGATAAAGTTAGGGGGTTAAAGACGAGGCGAGGGAAACTTCAGGGGGGCCCCGTCATGATGATATACCAGACGTTGTCGCTGATTATTTGACACAGGCTGGGTTCATACACGTGGCACGTATGAGTCATATTCAGGTATGTAAATTTTATATTACTTAATTAAATTACCGTATGTGGACTTTGTATAATTGTTGTTTTACCTTCAGATCGATACCGCCTTGATCAGTGCTTTGGTTGAGCGGTGGAGACCGGAGACACATATGTTTCACATGACGCAGGGATAGATGACCGTTACATTACAGGACGTGGCTGGTATACTTGGTTTTCCTACTGACAGGCAGCCAGTTACCGGACCTACAACATTGGTTTGGATCGCTGTGTGTCAGCATGTTTTTGGGACTGCCCCTGTTGCGGGCACAGACATTCACGGAGGCGATCTACGTATTTCATACTTAGACAGAATATATCCCGATTGGTTTCCAGTAGCACACAATCCTGATGAGGTGAGGCGTTACACCCAGGCACACATTTTGCGGCTATTAGGCTCATGGCTACTGTGTGACAGATTGGGTGGCAGCAAAATTGCGTGTCGTTACGCTCCACTGCTAGGAGGGGACTTTCAGGACATTGGCACATACAGTTGGGGGTTCGCGGTTCTCACCCATCTCTTTAGACATTTATGTGTGTCAACAAACCCGCAGACTGTTAATATGGGTGGTTGCCACGTATTGCTCCAGATATGGGCTTGGATTAGATTCCCCCCATTGCTCCACCTCTTCCGTAGCTTACCCACCCGGACTGGCATTTCGGTCACAGGTATATATTATTTGTAATTGTCTAATTCATTACATGTTCATGATGTCGTATGAGTAACGAAATTTGGTACACATTCTGTTACAGGTTTAATTCTCTAGCTCCCTTTAAGCCACATGAGCAGTCTTGGTTTTGGGAAATCCTTGACACGCTTTATAGAGACGAGGTTTGTTATCTATAAAGCGTATTTGTTTTTAAATTTTTTACATCTTATAGTTTGTATTAATTGTGTACCTGTTACTATTTTTTTTGTATGTAGGTTATGTGCCAGCCATACGGTGAATACCATACAGCATTGTTAGTATCTGATCATGAGCGGTACTTATGGTTGGCCATTACTCCTATCATTTGCTTCCACACAGTTGAGTGCGCTCAACCGGATAGATGTATGCGACAATTTGGTTTCGATCAGCCCATACCGCGGAGACAAAGAAAGCTTAAGGGTGTTCATGATCTAACTCTGCGAGGGAAGAAAGACGATAATTGGGAGCGTAAATTAAGGCCCTTCGTAAATTGAGTACGCGCTAACCAAGTTTGACGTCTTGAATACATCATCTATATATTGCCGATAATTCTGACGAATGGATAACGCTGCAGTAACAGCGTGACTACAAGGATATTTAAATGCTTTAAATTGTCCACATTGGCATGTACGAGCAGTAAGGTTGACAGCATACGTCTTTTCAAACCCTGCATCCACCTCAAAAACAATTTCATCAACATTATGTACGCACAGTATGCATTGTTGCCACGGATTCATTATTTGTCAATGATTCAATCACATTTTTGCAATAAGTATGACCAGATAAAACTTGTCTAGAAGCCGATTGACCTCTTTCCACGCAATATTGGACCAATCTACTATATGTAAATTTTACCGGACCAGTAATGGGCATGTTTCTTGCTCCCTTTAACACCCTGTTTATGGATTCTGACAAGTTTGTCGTCATATGCCCAAATCTTCGTCCATCAAGGTCATGTGCACGCGACCACTTTTCCTTAGGGATGACATCGATCCAATCTACTACCTGCCTGCTTGTGTCACAAAATCGTGCAAGCGCTCTCTCAAAATCCACCATGCAAGGAGTATATCTTGCCAACAATTTCAAAAACACACAGTTATATCATAACGAAAAACTACAACTCGAAATTCACCAATCATTGTGTGCAACATACCTATATTCATCAGGCTAGCCTTCAATTTGTCATTTCTAAATCGTTGATTAAAATTACTTGCAACATGTCGCAGGCAAAACACATGAAACGCATGGGGTGGTTGCCAAGCAGGATTATTTTCTACAGCCGATAATATGCTAGCATGCCGATATGAAATTAGACATATATCTTGCGCTTGTGTAACGTGCAGACGAAGATTGGCAAGGAAGTATGACCAAGCCTCCAATGTCTCACCCTCAACAACGACAAATGCAAGTGGCAGACATTCATTAATACCATCTTGAGCTGTGGCAATCAACAACTTTCCCTTATATTTTCCGTATAGATGAGTGCCATCAATTTGTATCATTGGTATGCAAAATTTAAATGCCTCACAACATTGTCTGAAAGTCTAGAAACAACGAACAAATACACGTTTTCCGGGACCCAACTGCCCCGCAACAAAACAATCCTTTGTTTGAATATTGTAAAAGGAACCTGGTGAAAAACAAAGTATATATTCACACCACCTGGGTAAATATGCATAGGATTCCTCCCAATCACCATATAACATTGCCATGGCTTTCTGCTTCGCATACCATGCCTTTCTATATGAAACTTTGAAACCATAAGAATGAGTTATTCTCTCTTGGACAAGCGCAATGGACACTGAAGGTTCCTTTTTTATCATCTCTGAATAACAACAACTGGATATAAACATTAACAGAACAACAGGTATATTAACTTAAATTTTGGTCAGCATTTTAATTTGAAATTACATACCTACTACAAGTTCTGCGATAACGTCAGAATCAAGTTGTCGATAATCTTGAGAAATATGGTCATTCAAGCAATTGTGATCCCCACCCTATTTTGTTACCTTCCAATTTTTACCATACGTTGGTTTAATTACCCTGATCCTCCCCGGGAAACATTGGACATGCGCACAACATTTCATGCTTAATTTTGTGGGAATGCTCTCAACCACAATTGCTTCTTGATGCTCCTTCATGAGGTTGCGCTTGATTGCCATCTGAGCCTCTTTTTTGGATGTAAGGTGTTGGTTAACAAACAACTTTTCCCCCAATTGCCATGGACCCTGGATTGAACTCGAACTCTGTGTCCATGATTGTGCCTCACTCGGATGATCCCAATCAATATATGTGTAATGTGGAATTTCAGACCAAAAAGGATCAACAGGTGCATCGCCTACATGTACCACGTAATAATAATAATACAATTGAATTATTGTCTTAATCAAAAATCGCAACAACCAAGCTGTCAGTATATTAATTGATAGCATACCTTTAGGATGTTCTAGTACTTGACCCGATGTTGTGTCATGATGTACAACGATACAAGACTCCCCCAAATCATGCCATGGTTGAAGTTCAGTACCAGACCTGCCACATTCTTCGTCATTGTCTGATGCACTCGCATCCTCTGCAAGAAGACGATCCTCCATTGCAATATTTTCCTCATCATCTTCGTCATACTCTTCATCCATAACCCAAGTAGGGTCATGTTCATCTTCCTCAGACATGTTAACAGCAGGAGCAGTAGATGAGGATGCATTAAGAGGAGAAGTAGACCTAACTGACCTCATTGGTATAACAACTTCCTCCGCGGTGGTAGTATCCACATACAACTCTAAGAAATCCTTTCTGGACTGGTTCAAGTACTCTTCCATTACCATATCGATGTCTTCGTCATCGACCACTTGCAAGCTAATGTATTGTTCACATTGCCATAATCTTGCCGTGATTAGAGTGATTGATTGGTTGTCTTGAAGACATAATTTTTGACGTATTTTCTGATATAGCTCTGCAACCGTTGAGTTCCATTTAATATGTGATGGCCTTTTCTCCCCTACAAAAACAACACCACGACGACCTTCCTCTTTTCTACCATTAAAATATAGAACAACACGAATAGTATCAGAATTCGCACTCATTTTTAAAATCAAAAATTAATAAGATAAAATTAAATATGAGTAAACAAGTGCAAACTATCAATAAACAAGTGCGAAAAAATGTGAGAGTTTAAGAATAATAATGAGGGAGAAGAGTTGTGAAGAGTGTGTAGAGGGGTGGGTGTTTAAATAGACTGCAATTTAGTCACTCACGCCCAGATTGGGCAGGACGTTCCAGTGGAATACGCCTAAGTTGGGCGTGTCTTCCTCACAGGTCACGCCCTCAATGGGCGTGTCTCTCTCCTTGAGCTCACGCCCAAGATAGGCGTGTTATATTTTGAGGCTCACGCCCCACATGGGCGTGTCTCTCTCCATGAGAATACGCCCCATGTGGGCGTGTTTGAGTGCTATAGTTTTGTAATTTTTTCCAAAATGACTACATATTAGTAATTTTTTATTAAAAAAGTAATAAATTAATTTTTTTGCCGAGATCATGATCATGAGAACTCAAACATACTACATGACTACGCCTTAAATCGTTCCCAATATAGAGTCACCAATGAACCGCGTTAGTTGTTTCGATTAGACTAGTACGACAATATGTTACTTATATGAAGATGTAAGGTATAGACTTCATGAGTGCAGGCATAGAGACGCCTTAACCTATGTCGTAATTGGATTCATAGTGGACTGAGTCGCACCGAACTGACCCGTCAAGAGACTCCACAAGGAAAATTATAGCAGTATCATTGAATTAGTAATGTCTCTCTTTGTTTAGTTGTGCATACCATCATCAGACTTGAAGTTGTTATCATACATTGTGTCCGAAGGTCATGATTTGGGATACAACTCTATTTGCCTGAAAGATGGGGAGAGCATTGTACTTACGGATATGATTGGAAGGCACGAGAATAGATGAACACACCGAAAGAATTCATCATCGTTTATAAGAATTAGTTATCCACAAGACTAGTAGGGTTTGGCTTCCATGAAACTCATAAATATGTGCACAATAAGAGATTGTGAAGGAGTTCATGGATCTTTCTTAGAGTTTATAGAAGAAGACTCCATATCCTAGCAAAGCTACTCTTAATCAAAAAAGAGTTGATATTACTTCCTTGCTCTTAACCTAAGAGATAGATGAATGAGATGAAATGATAGATCCCACGATAACTAAATCAATAATGTCAAATCTCATGACCAAACTCAATTAGTTCTAAGGCCACAAAACATTGTTAATGCTTTGTGTGGTCATTAAATGAAGTGGACTTCATAAATGAGTTTACGAAGGTTCCAATGTCATTCATGTCATACAAATACACTCAAACAACTCATTTTATTTGAACTTCATAGTCTTTCGAATCTGTGGCAGACTTGAATCACTCTTGAATCTGAACATATGTTCTAACTAATTATTGTCCTTGACGCATATTTTACTTTATTTATGAGAACATGCTTTTACTTCATTTTAGAGAATATCCAGAAGACGACATGAGATAACTAATTCAAAAGTATGCCAATTTGGGTTCCATTTTAATTTTGTAGCAAAGGAAAGGGATTTAGCTTTCGCCTTGAAATTTTCTCCCAATTTTTCATGGTTTGATTCTATAGAAAAAGGTGCTCAAATTTTTTTATATTTTTCATTAGATTTTGATTTAATATTAATTTGTAAAGAGAATTGTCTCAATGAATGGCTCAATGCGCGATCGAACTTGATAAAAAAATCACAAAATAATTGGTTCAAATTCAATTATAACAAATAAAAAATACCTTTTAAATTGTAACATATATAGAGAGAGAGAAAAATTTCTTAAGTCACTTGAAATAATCTTATCTCCGACCACCCCTAAAACTATGTAATTTTGAATATTAGGAGAATTAATGAAGGGTGTTTTGGTATTTTTGTTTGTCTATTTATTATATGAATTTTACAAAAACACCATTTATTAATTCTCTTAACACTCAATATGACGTAATTTTGGGGTGGCCGGAGATAAGATTATCTCAAGTGACTTGAGAAATGATTAACCATATATATATATATATAGGAAAATATTATTCTCCTTTCAAATAAGATATCTTCTCTCATGTTCTCTCACTTCGATTTCCGTATCCCATCTTTTTTTTTCTTTTTCTTTTTGTAATGGTGGGACCCATCTATTTTCTCTCTACAATATAAGATAACTATCTTATGTAAAATGAGACTAACAAAATCCATATATATATATATGAAAATAATATTTCTACAGCCACTTTAGATAAGATTATCTACAACTATCCCAAAAACTACGTCGTTTTGATTAATGAAAGGTGTTTCCGTAATTTTAGGTGAATTAATGAAGGGTGTTTCAGTAAAATGCATAAGATAAAAAAAATAAACAAAATTATGGAAACACCCTTCATTAATTCACCTAAAATTACAGAAACACCCTTCATTAATCAAAACGACG